CGGAGCACTTCATTTCCTTATAAACTGCTTAATGACTTGTAGTGTTTACGAACGGCCGTTTGTTCTGGATGGGACCTTCAAAATTAGCTCACTTATTTCTTGTGGTCGATGAGGTGCCTCTTAGACTCTATGCAATGATGCACAGTATCAGTCAGTCATATCTCGAGATGGTTGAAGTTTTGTCATATATTTTATGAGAAGTGTTTTGTTGTTGGTCTCTTTAGAAGATAAAATAAACTTCAGGATTCTCAGCTGACTGACCTCCCGGCAATGCAGCATCTATCGCTGGAACCGGAAAAGTTGTTAGCTGCATAGTCGAAGAACCAAACTGTCAGTCACATCGATCAAAGTAGTGCCGGTGGTCACGGGGTTGTCTGTGTGTGTGTGTGTGTATATATATATGTATTTATGTGTGTCCGATGCAACTTGTCCGGAACTTTCAACTCGGGAACCACAAAAGCTAAAAAGCTGAAATTTTTTTAAGTATGTTCCCTTCCACATGAGACCCCTCAGATTTAAATTCAGCCTTCTCGCGCTCATGGATAATACATACGGCTTGGTAAAATTTGCGGCAGGGAAATCATTGTTCCGGGAATCGCGAAATCTAGGAGGCTGGAACTTTAGGACAATGACTTCCAGCCCACGTACGACCTTCCAAATTTTCAACGTCTCAGTGGAAGTTCTGATGGGAAAAATCATTGTCTCGAAAGCCGAAAGAGGTAGGAAGCTGAGAATTTCAGGAAGAGTTAGGAGGCTGAAAATGTTTCCTGTTTAAGTAGGGGTTCCACAAACTCGAATTCAGTTCCTAATAATGCCGAGGTCTCACGTACGACCATGTAAAAGTTTTGTCGCAAAAACCAATCGGAAGCCAGAAAATTAGGAGGTTGAAATTTTGGAAGGATATTTACCCCTCCAGGTTTCAAATTCAGCTTTCACATCCCGGTGCGTGAGATTTTTAGCGAAAAATTCTGCAACCTGGGAACCAGACAACATTCGCTGGACGGAACAGCACAAAACGCATGATCGCACTGGCTGCCCTGATGCGTTTGTTATTCTTGCAAAAGCGTTTTTTTTTTCTTAGCGTTTTTTTTTTTCCTTAGATCATCGTGCAAACATTTTTGTGTTTCAAGTCAAATAACATTCAGAAGCGACGAACGCGCCTGGGCATTCATCTGGACTGTGATACAACATGTTCAAGATGAAGACTTTTTGCAAATGCTTTGGAATCCACGGAGATCCTGGTGGCCAGAATTTCACCGTACTGAGCTCTCAGCATCAGCAGCTGATTGCAGAAATCGTGTTTTTGAGAAGCTACAAAGTCTCTGTGGGATTTGATCCTGTACTGAAGTCTCTAAAACGATCAGTCTGCAAGTTATTGGTAAGGTTGAATATGAGGATTTTTAAAATGTGTCTCATTATGCGTTTCTGCATATATGCAAACGCAAAACGCATATTGTGACGTCCCCTGTATGTGTATTTGTGCACGGGTGGGTGTGTGTGTGTAGGTGCGTCTGTCCGGGTATTTCAACTCGGCGACCAAGCAGACTTCGACGCTGAAATTTTGCCAGTGAGTTTCCTGGCCAAATGTCACCTCAGGTTCACGGCACCAACCATCATGCACGTGCGGGTCTCACATACAAGCGCGTCAAATTTTTGCCGGGAAATCGCTAACTCAGGAGTCGAAAAAGTTAGAAAGCTGAAATATTTAAAGGAATGTTCCCAGCACACATACAAGTTAAAGATTTCAGACTCGGCCCTCACTTATGTGTGGCTCCCATGTATTGCCTAGTGAAATGTTTTTGGCTGGAAAATCACCAACTCGGAAACCAGAAAAGCTGGAAAACTGAAATTTCAACGAAATGTTTCTTGTCCAAGTACCCATGTATTTGCACAATTGATTCCCATAGTCTTAGTGGACACTATGTACAAATTCGAGTTACGGGTTTGTTTCAGTTGCATATGTTTTTTTTGTGAATCATCGTCATCACCATTCTCCCTCATTCCTTTTCCTGCCACAAAGAATATTTTAGTAAATTTTCATATAAACACCATGAGAAGAGATTGTCCTGACAGTCGATGTGGTGATTCGATGTTAATGTTGTCACTGGAATGCTCCCACCTGCCGAACCTAAAAGTTAGATATGTAAAGTATGCTGTTCTCATCATAAAATTATGTTTTTTTTTTTCCTTTTTACCCTATAAGCAGAATACCATTTGCATTCCTGCGTGTTTACAATTTTCTGCGTTTTCATCCTTCCTTTTTTTTACACCTGCAAAAACCTAATTATATATTCGTTCCCTTTATCCCGTTTTACTCCTATTTTTGAATGCGCTTGCATTCCCAGCCGTTTTACTGTTGTTATTTTTCCTTTCGATCCCTTTTTTTAATTCCCTTAAAAACCCTTATTTCCATTTTCCCTTTTCACATTTCCCTTTACTCTAATTACCATTTTCACATTTTCAACTCCTCCAAAAAACTATCACATACTCTTTTCGGGCGGTTCTTACATCCTTTATAAACCTCTCTGCCATTCTTCGTGGTCTCATTTTCTCCTTCAGCTTTTGGACGGCTCTCAGTCTCCTCGAACGACATCATCTCGACCCTTCAAGGCTATTGGGGCTCGACCTCGTCTGGTACACTTCTAGGCCTCATCGACCATTCTCTGCTGTAACGACTCTTGCTCGGCAAGCTCACAGACTCGATAGATTCCAAGCGCCACACTTCGTGCTGTTT